ACCTTAATTCAAACACGAAACAGAAGACAACCAGACTCATACATCGCTCTATTCCAATTTGATAAATGTACAGACAAAAAATGAAGGAAAATCACACTTCAATGATAGCTGTCTGAAAACAACAATAATACCCATACTTCTGGTGTCAACCCTAAAATGAAAAGTCCTAGCATAATTTCTTCCTCATTTTTTTCAAAATATATATCTTGTTCATTCCCCTACGTATCTACCTTCAATAAAACACAAGAGAGTTTACTAGTAATGTGTTTAGATGAGATTTTATTCTGTTCGCTAAATATGTGGAACAGATTTACATATCAACATTTAGTAAGGTGATACAGTAGCTGTTGTCGTGGTTTTCAAGCACACACGTCTGTACAAAATCTGCACTTTGTTGAATATCTAAATTCATGGGTAATCTTTACCCCATACAAACTCAGCAAACATTCGTATCCCACGAATAATAATGAATCCACAGTAATTGAAGATTTTATCAACCTTTCATTTATCTTGATCAGCAAACTAGTTCAAGATATTTTCCACATTTCGAATCACTTTTGTCAGTGAACGTTTTTGAAGATTTACTTAACCGTGTGAATCAATTTCCCCAGACTAATCAGGTAAGTATTTCAACACTTCCAGTCATCTTTATTAGTAGACTACTTTATGATTAATCAACCATTCAATTAATTTTGTTCAATTGATAAGCTTATGATTTACACAACCATTCGAATCATCTGATCCGTAGGACAAGTTCAGGATGTACATAACCCTAAAAGTTATTATATCTTAATCACTGAACTAATTCAGGATATACATGGAACGCACCTAAATGTTCAAATCATCTTGATAAGCGGATTGTTTTGAGACGTACTCAACCTCTTCAATCATTTTGATAAGTTAAGTTAAATATAACAGAAATCTTTCCAATCATCTTGATCTGTGGAATAATTCAATAAATAATCAACCCTTGCAATCATCTTGATTATAGGACTAGTTCACTAGTTCAGGAGTACTCAACATTCCAAGATTCAAGATTTTTTTCTCTACCCTTCGTAATATCTTTATTATCAAACAAGTTCGGGATTTATTCAATCATTCATGTCATGTTTACCAATGATCAAAGGATTTACTTGACCCTTCCAGTCATTTCTAGTGGCGCCCTTCCAATTATGTAAATCAGTGGACTATCAAGTTATTGGGATTTAACCCGCTTTTCAATTATATTGATAAGTGAACAAGTTTAGGTTGTACTGAACGATGTTAATTTTGTTTTTAGTGTGCTATTTCCCTCGTCAATGATGTTCACAACCTTTCTATCATGTCGACCAAGTTCATGCATGATGTACTTTTCATTCCACAATCTAAATCTAAATCTGATAACTAGTTCAGGATGCACTGAACCTTCTGAATTATTTTTCACTAGTACAGGATGCACTGAACCTTCTGAACTATCTTTCACTAGTTCATGATGCACTGAACCTTTTCTATCATCGTGCTAAGTAGATTATAACAGGACGACCTCAAACCTTCCAATCATCTTGATCAGTTGATAAGTTTCAGAATTAACTCAATAACAATAACACGCTATAAAGTTTCAACTTGAAAAGTTAGAAACACATCTATTATAATTAATATTAGTACCGAAGCACTGACCACTGAGCTGTTGATACCTCCGGGGAATGATATAGAAAAAGGATGATGTGGTATGATTTCAAATGAGACAACTCTTCACCAGAGACCAAGCGATAGTCCACCAGCCGTGGTATCGATCCAGAAATTGATAATAGTTTATTAATTTCGTGCGTTAAAAGAGCTTTTCTAGATTTACCTTTCTAAGGAACACTCAGACTCAAACGTTTGAAAGCCATGAATGATTAAATATGTAGAAACGTTTGCAGCTATATATGACGAACAGGGCAAATAAAAAAAATATCTAATTTAGCCAAGATTATATTTTCTTAGAGAGTTGGAATCTTAGTTTCTTAGTAATTTCTTACTTTATCAACTGGGAAATTTTGAAAAAAAACATGTATGCTATAAATCATGTCTGTAACGCAGCACTTACTACTTAGCTTATGATAACCTTGGGTACTAATAGTCTACCAGCAGTGATATCAACCCAGTGCTCTAAAAAAAGATAACACTTAATAAATTTTATGCATCCGAAGAGCTATTCTGGATTTTAACTCAGCAGGAAAGCACATATCCAAACATTCTGAAAGCCAGGGTTGCATCCATAAGTAGAAAGGTAACGAGTTATATGACCAAAGTGGACCTTAAATGAATAACCAAATTCGATTGAGGTCAAATTATCTGAAGGAGTTGGGACCTTAATTTCTTTGCATTTTATTAATCATCAACGGTTAGTTTTAGAATAATATCGTAGAAATTATTGCATTACTGAAGCATTGATAACTGGGTTGATGATGCCCTTGGGGGACTTACAGTCCACCACCAGTGGTATCTCTCCAGAAATAGTAAATGAAAATAACACCTCATGAACTCTGTCCGTCCAAAGCACTTTTCATGATGAACTGTCACGAACGCTCAAACCCAATCCAGACATATATCAGTACATATAAACGTAAGGAGCTATATGAAGCAAGAAGGAGAAAAAAGAATAACCAAATTGAAACTTAAAATCACCGTAATATGTAAGCTAGTTCATGACGTAATCTTCCTTCTAATTATTGCGAGCATTGGGTTAGCTGAGGATATTTTAAACCCTTCGAAATATCTTGATCAGTGTATTAATAAAGGCTGCATACAACCCTTCCAATCATTTTTATAAGTGGAAAACTCTACTATTCAACTCGCGCATCGTGATCATTGGACTAGTTGACTAGTTTAAGGTGTAATCAAACTTTCCAATCACCTTTATCAGTAAGCTAGTTCTTTAGTTCAGGATATACAGGTTTGTTTTCATCAATTTTATCAATAGATTAATTCAGTCAGTGGCTTAATGCAAGATGAACTGAACCCTCAATTTCATCTTGATCAATTAAGAAGTTCAGGGTGTACTAAATATTTGTAATCATCAGCATCAGTGTTCTCGGCCTGGGTGATCTCAACTGTTTCAAATTTATTAATAAGTAAACATGGTTAGTATGTTATCAATCCTCGTCATTTTGATCAGTAAACTTGCTCAGCATGTATCATCAACTGATCTAATCTTCTTTGTCATTGGACAGGTCAATGATATACTTCGCACTTCTAATCATCTTGAACTAGTATAGGATGTCTACAACACCTAATTTATGAAGTAGGGAATAATTTAACAATGTATTCAACTGTTTCTCACGTCTTGATACGTGGACAAATTCAAATAAGTTCTCATAACTACTCAATTTTCAAACAGTTACAGGTATTGCATAGAGATGTTTTCAACCCGAAATAGGTTTCCAGTTGTATTGATATTTTTTTGCATAAGGTTGATTTCTATCCGACGCAGCTCATATGATAAATCTTAAACATTAGACATTTGTTAATATAATATGATATTCTCCGATCGTTTACGAACTATAGGTTCTGAATAACGTAAATGAAACCCACCAAAGATCTTCTAACACCATCTAATTCCTTAAACAACAATAATAATTAAGATATGACAAAAGACAATCAAGAAATATGTTCTGTTATAAGAAATATAGTTTGAATGAAAACAAGACTATACAGCATGCGTTTAAATTTGACAAATGATTCGAATATATTAGTTAAATAAGATTAAAAAGTCTATGACATGTATGATAAGAGTGCAAATAATCGAAATATCTTATTAACAGTTAAAACATTGGTAGTTTAAATAGAATATAATAAAAAAATATCATGAGGGTTATTAACAGGGGCTATTAAATAGATATGGAATGTGAAATAACTGCATTTAGTATATTTCAGGTCAGTGGTTTGCAAAATAGATCTTTGATTATAAGCCGATCAGTATCAACTCAAGATGCATTTTTTCACAATTTTTAGCAAGCAAAATATTATTAGTAAAACAATAGATTAAAACCAGAAATTGATAATGTAAATTTTCCATTACCTAATATTCTCAAAAAAGTCTTGTTCTCAAGAAAAGAATATTATCTTCCCGCAAATGAAAAGAACAATTTTGAAATTTTGAATGTACATAATTAATACTGTCACATATCACTGAGGTAAACTAAGTACATTTCGACAATTCGCTTACAGATCATAAACTGTTAAGCCTATGTTTATACCGAGCAGTAGTTGCGTTTTAACTGTTCATAACAATTACACACTAAATTGTCTAAAAAGATACTGAGCAGCACTCTATTGACTGCCTGGAACTACTGTAAACAGAAAAAAATTCGCTACAGTTTTGTTTTCGATATGTTCACGGTAAGAGTAGAAACGCAAAAATAAAACTTCCGCGAACATTTCGAGAATTGATTCAAAGAATGAAGACCATCTATCAACGTATACCAAGAGGATTATGTATACAGGGCCAATTTATAACAATAGTTTTTCAGACGATAAATCTATATCACTAATTAAAAAGGAGGCGAAAGATACCAAAGGGACATTCAAACTCATAATTTGAAAAAACAAATGACAACGCCATGACTGAAAAAGATAAATAACAAACAAACCTGCCAAAAAATTCTTCAAATAATTTAACAGAGAATGTCTTTAAAAAAATGAGTTATCTCCCTTTGTACAGAAATATGGTTTAACATAGTAATCTTACATTAGATATGGTCCAGAGTTATGGTCCATAACTCTGGACTAAATCATCAAACCGGAACAAAATTCGAACTTGATCTATAACTTGTCATGATAAAACTATATACCAAATATCAAATCAATATCTTCAAGAACGAAGAAAAAAAGTGTGGAAAGCTGATTTACCGGACTGACAGATGGACAGACGGATAGACGGACAGACGGACGGAGTGCAAACCTAAAGTCCCCTTCGACTTCGTCGGTAGGGGACTAAAAAAGACAAACAGACAAACAACAGTACACAAAACACAACATAGAACACAAATTAAAATTTTATTTCTAAATGAAAGGCAGTGTTAGAAACCACAACCTTTAGCTCGTGACAGTCAAATTAATATGAAACCTATTTTAAGGAACTGGAAATTATTGATATCGTTATATAAACATCACTCGTGACAATTAGATAAATGACATCTTCAATCATTTTTTAAAATGATTATCACATTAGATCTGCAATAATTAATAAAATCAAAATATTTGATTAATAAGCCGTGATCGTCGCAGCTTCTAATTTGATCTTACTAGTTTGAAAGCATTCTTTTATGTTAATAGTGTATGTGTTTTTACATAAACATAAATTAAGCGGTTTACTTTTACTTAATATAAGTCAATTCACAAAAAACTTGAAATATACATGTACATCAATGAACGACGAAAAATGTTCACTTTGTTTAGATAAAAAGGTTTTTTGATTGATTTCCAGCACTTGCTTTACGATACATGTACAACGGTGCCGTTTTAAAATCATTTTCTTAAATTGTGTACAGGCCTCCTACAAACCGCGAATTCATAACGGTGCGAATTAAGATTCCGTTGGTAAATAGCGAAATAAAGACTGCGCGAAAATTTCCAGATTTACAGTATCTGAAAAGTATCTTTAACTATTAAAAAGACAACGGTTTAGGTTCAGACTTTTCAAATTGGTAAAATCAAAATGGCTGTTGAACACTCACATCAATCTACTGATGATCATTGGGTTTCATTTTTTTTCTACTTGGAGCGTTGCTAGTGAATGTGTTTCGAATGCACTTCATGTACATTTTTTTTTAATAATCATTTTCAAAATTTGAATTGAACAATGTTGAAATTAAATTTTAAAAGTCAGAACTGTTTAAAACGTTTTATATTTAGCCTGCTAATGATAAATTGTTTTCAAGTCTCAATGCAACTGATAACGACTCTACAGATTATACAAATTTTAGACACTTTTTATCTGGTTCATATGAAAGAATACACAAATTTAGATTGCTGTATCCTAAATGGAAAGGGAAAATAGTCACCAACAGAACAGATGCTATGTTAGTATGGTAACATAGGCTACCGTAGGAGTCTTTTATACATGTATGGCTCGCGTTTTCGCATATATGTATCGTTTTATATGTAAACACATAGCATATGCTTTGATTTAGTATAATAAAGACTTAGTCATAGACAGGCAGTATTATATATAATAAAGAACTCCAATTAAAAAGCGTTAAAACGCTTAACATGTGTACACGAAGAGCTCGTAAACTTCCGTTTACTTTTACATAATCTTTTGATAATGATACAATATCGATCAAGTCATTAAAAAGAAGAATAATAAAAGAAATAAAGACCCAAAAAATCATATGATCTACTCTAGATACATTTCAGAGGCATTACAAGCATCTGCCAAATATATCAAAAGGGTCATTGTGAAAAATAATTCATCTTTAAAATACATATAAACAATTTCGAAACTAGAAAAATAATCCTTTTCGAATTGTAAATGCCAATTTGAAATTGTATTGTTATCATCAGAGATGAACAGATGTGGATCCAAACTGGTTCTGTTGAAACTAATGCTGTCTTTTGAATGAATTGCAAATGACATATTTATTAAATGTGAATTGTATATTCCAAATACTGGCCACAATTGCAAACCATGTGACACATTAAGTTTACTTCCTACGTATATATTCTGATTTTCTGACATGAGCATGAGCCGTGAGCTTTGAAGTCCCATGGTGATTTGTCCTTGGGTCCATTCTGATGTTTGTTTTAAAATACTGACATCAATCTTTGACGAAATTTCATCAGAGACCTCTAGACAAATTCCAAATTTATCTTTACATCTAAAAGCTTTCACTGTTAACATTTGATAATCATAAACGTGTTTTACCATATATTCTACAGAGGTTGAAAGTCCAAATTCAAACAATAGCGTGCCATTGTCAGATATATTTGGATGGAATAGACTTAGTTTGAAAATAACATCAATGTAATCTGTATGTCCAGTTAAACATCGGTTCCCATAGGCCAATCTGTAATGACTTGACGAAAGAGTGGGAAAATGAATATTTCTCCGCTGTTGTAGCGTGTGTGTATCTGTACCTGTTTCGATTGTGTCTGTGGTATCTACAATAATGAAAATGGAACGATTCAAAGGTCAAACATATATAGACAATGCATTGCTGACACAAACGACGTAAGACATGGAAATGCGCAAACCCACACACAGGTAAACGTTTTAAAAATATCAAGCAAAACCATTTATAACAACAGTTGCGACATTTCCTGTCCACCATTTACATGATTTAAAATATGCTATTTGACTTACTGCCATTTTCGGGCTTTTTTGTTTTACATGTATATAGTGAGAAAATCATTTTTCAAACGTCTTTTGTGATTCATTGTTTGATGCTTCAGTTTTTGATATATTTTCAAATTTTTGATATGCTTTAATGTTTTGGTTTTAAAGTTAAAAAATTTCAAAACTTGATTGAACTGAACAAAATTCACTAAACAGAAAATAAAACAAGAAAACAATATTTGACTTGCAAATCTTAGCGCCGAGAATGAGCGGAATAATTACAATACTACATGTATTATAATTTTCAAACATATTATAAATATAGTCTAAACAAAGTATAATATGCTTTATTTTGATTTATTAAATTTACATTTTAATATAAAAATAAATGACATTACAACAAATGTAGTAGTTATACATATGTATATAACATACAAAAAACAATCTTACAGAAAAGATTTTTTTTTAAATGTTGTGAATAGGTGGAATGCCTTATATCTTGACTATCTATAAATTAACAATGACGGTTGGTTGAGAACAACCTTTACGACAAATGGGATGATGTCAGCTTCCTTATTTTAAACTTTTCATTTTTATATAGCAACATACCAGCAGAACCTGCATATGCAGTTTATATCTCCCAGTTAATACGATATTCTAGAGCTTATAAAAATAAAAAGATGATGTATAATTGCCAATGAGACGACTCTCCACCAGATACTAAATGACATAGAAGTAAACAACTATAGCTCACCGTATGACCTTCAAAAATGAGCAAAACCCATACCGCATAGTCAGCTATGAAGGCCCCGAGATAACAAATGTAAAACAATTCAAACGGGAAAACCAACGGTCTAATATATGTAGAAAACAATGAACGACATACAAATATGATATACAGCAACAAACGACAACCATTGAATTACAGGTTGCTGACTTGGGACAGGCACATACAGAACGTTTTAGCGGGCGCCCAAAACTCCCTAAAACCTGGGATAGTGGTGTAACAGTACAAAATATGAACAAACTATAAAAAAGCATGACATTGCGCAAGGTCAAAATACAGGTATCGACAGATTGTAGAACCGTGAATTACATATGTATATATTAGCTCCGTGTTGAGGTCTCACTGTGACTTTGAGAAGAAGAACAGCAATAAAAGCGCTGTTCCTTTGCTTTTTGTATGTTTTTTTGTTGTGCATTTACTGATTTTGTGTCATGGATGAATACCCCATATCCTTTGTTTTTTTATTATATAACACAAATATTATATTGTTTTAATTAACGGATAACTAAATCAATATTTATACCAATAAAAACAATATTTAATGATCTAATTACAGTTTTGAATTGGTTACATTTTAGAATAAGTTTATTTAAAGTATCCATTGGTTTACCCGTATTGTATCTAATTTCCGGGCTCGGTTAACAACACCTCCGTTAAAATTAGGATGTGCTATCCAGTTTGAAATAAGTTTTCTACAGGTACAGCTAAACTTACAAACCAAATATTTGTATCTATGGAAGAATTTAGTAAAGGTTTTAAGTATTTTGTGGTAACGAAATCTCTATCTTAATAATTTACCAGAAATACATAGATTACGTTCATTGAAATTCAAAACATCACTACAGACACGAGCATTGCGAACAAGTTGTGATATATAAACATCGTAAGATGCCAAAGGAACATTGCAATCCAAAAAAGGAATATTAACAATAGGCAAAGAAAAATCGTCCCTTTTGTCGTGAATTTTAGTGTAGAGTTTCCCGTGTAAAACTGAAATATTTAAATCTAGGAACAGAGAGTTATTACCGTTTATATTTGATTTATCTAAAGTAAGTTCCTTTGGGTAAATTTCGGCAGTATATTTAAAAAAATTCTTGATTATTTAACGAAAAAATGTCTTCAAGATAATGATACGTATTGTTGAATTTATCAATTAAATGCAATTTAGACGGGTCTTTACTGAGTCTAGTAATAAACTGGGATTCATAACAGTACAAAACCAGTCTGCAGTCAAAGGGGCGCAATTGGTGCCGTTAGGGATACTTACAACCTGTTAATACACTTTATTGCCGAAACGTTTATAAATGTTATCAAGGAAAAAATTAACCACTTCAATCATCTTGCATTTCCTAAAGTGATTTCTTCTTAGAGGATTACTGCTTACTAGAAAGATATAAAATTAAGAATTTTTACTTGTGAAGTTGAAGTGTTCTCTTCGAATATTTTACGAACGTCATCATTTGTTGTTTGATTGTTATAAAAATCTCTGCTTCACAACAGATATATTTGTGTTGTTGTAACGACGGGTGCCACGTGTGGAGCAGCATCTGCTTATTCCTCCGGAGTAGTTGCAATCACCCCTATTTTGGTGGGATTCGTGTTGCTGACCCCTTAATAATCTGTATATTGGTGTTTGTCTTTTGGTCGTGTTTTGATTATTAACATGGCGTTGTCAGTTTGTAATCGACATATGAGTTTGAGTATCCCTTTGATATCTCCCGCATCTCTTTAATCCCTGATAGTAGTTTACCTTTCAGGCAATTTAATTGCTGAGCCTCTCCCTTAAGTCTTTCAAATTCACCATGTAGTTGATCACATATATGTTTTGGTGTCTTCCTTTGTTGCTTTATGTTTTTCCCATATGAATAAACTGAAACTCGCTCATGCACCAATAACACGGAAATGTTTTCCAATTGTCTTGAAAGTCTAGAAATGTCTCCATGAAACGGTGAAGAGCAACGTGGAATTTCTAAAAAAAAAAATTCTATCTTCAGAATTAGATTACCAGAATGTCGATAATAATCCAAAAAAGTAATTTAAGACATATAGCAAATACTTGCGCCCTAAACGGTACTGGAGTCGTCTTGAACGTGGATTATGGCGTCAACTTTTGCTCTTTGTTGAAAACCTTTTATCTGAGTCTACTTTATCACTAAATCGCGGTTCATGTGCTTTGGTTTGCTAAATGCGTGTTGGATTTTGTTTCATGAATTGATGCACATTATTCCTTCATTCTCACATTTCACCATTAAGCTAAAACTTCAACATTTTAAATACATCGATAACCATTTTGATTAAAAGAAGGCTTGGGATACACAGATACAAAGTGACTATCAAAATTATAAATTCGAATAAAACGGGAAAAAAACAATTGCCAAAACAGTCCTCAAACAATTTAAAAAAAGCTAAAGATCTGCACATGAACCCAATAAAATACCGGAGTTGAACTCATGTGCTTTGAGAATCTGCTGTATTAACAAAGTGCAACCTTAAACATTTATACAGCATAAACAATATTCATCTATTTTTTCTGTTCTATACTCGGTTCAATCTATATTTTATCTAAAGCAGTTATTATAACTTGATTTTAATTTAAGAAAAGTTGATCCCAACTACTGTTATCATAACCGTCTCCCGTGTCTTTAAGATTAAATTGATAACGTTCTATGTAGTTCAGTCTTTGTGGCGAAATTATCAACTTCTAGTCTCATTAATTTACTTAAATTTGATAAACAGATCAAACTAACTGTTACACAATAAAAAAAAACAATGCCAAAAAATCAAGAAAGGATATATAAACTTCATATTTCGATGAAAGAACAACACACTACTAGAGGAAAAGAAGACGAATTTTCGGTTTAGAGACACATTTTTAAAAGGTTTTGTACATACAAATTTTTTCGTTGAGTTATCAAAATATTTAACGCTTGGTTTTGAAAGAAATGTTGTTGAGGATTAGGAAAACCTTGGAAAATATTGTTATATCACAATCTGTAATACTATCACAGAAGGAAATGATTTTGATTGTATGTACCCTTATAATTTGATGTTTTTAATCCACATGTTATTCATAAATCCATTACATTAAGTAGATTCACAATTATTCTAATTGGCTCTTTTGATTTCGTATTGGAAAAAAGCCCATCATTTCAATATGTTTTTGAAGCAATCAGATTAACGCAGGAATACAAAGTTCTTAGTAAGTACAATAAGGGGAACAGACCTCTTTTCAAATAGTTGATATCTATTTAAACACCAATCAAAACTGGGCTTCAGAGTTACTAATAAATACATACTAAGGTGTAGACGCTAACAAACTGAAAACATCTGTTTGAGTGCTTATAATCAAAGCCCCTCCCCTCCTACAATAGTATAAAACATTTAACTTCTCTACTCTTTACACTAACTTTTATCATTCTAAATTCAGAGACAGATCACAAGAATGATGAAAACTTTGAGTGAAGAAAACAGAACAGCCTGTACGGTTACACATATATCTTGTTTTAGGAAGGGACAAATCTTACTTTTTAAAAAACCACTTTGAATCGAGACATTGTTCACTGAAACTGACAACATTACAACACTGGATGTTTGATAGTCAATATATTTGTAACATTTGTTTAAACAGATGATCAACATTAGAAAAATTAAGGTGACCAACAAAAACTGACGGAATTACAGGAACTCCAAAGTAGCGGGACCGGGAGCGTCGACTGGGCAAGCGTCTTCCTCGATTCATTCATCACCCGTCATGCGGATTTACACTCATTCAAAGTTTCTTAATCGAGCATATGACACTATCGGATAAATTACAGATCAGACGACTATATTTTTATCTAAAGACCGCGAAAACATGTCGCTAGTGAGTTGAGAAACCGACACATCCTATATATCAACCAAATTCGTGATGGTGACCGTAGAACGTATGTAGTGTATTTTATTTGTTCTTTTCCATAACGATTTTGGACCAGTTTTCGTGTAAGGAGCAAACACCCCTATAATAAATAAAGGCCGCAAAGAGTGTACATGCACCGATCTAAAGAGTTAAACCCCTATTTTTATATTTTGTTCTTATGCTGTTCTGTAACACCACTGTCCTGGGTTAGGTGGAGGTTTTGGCGCCAACAAACATGCAAAACCCCGCCACATTCTGTTGTGCCTGTTTTGAGTCAGGAGTCTGTAATTCAGTGGTGTCGTTTGTTTCTGTATATAATATTTGTTTTTCGTTAATTGTTTTGTACATAAATCAGGCCGTTTTTTTACATTTTTCATTTCGGGGCCTTTCTCAGCTTATTATGCGGTAAAGATTGTAAGATCGATGACCTATAGCTCTTAAATTCTATGTCATTTGGTATCCTTTGGACAGTTGTCTCATTGGCAATTGTACCACACCTTCCTCTTTTTATATCAATCGTAATGTATGCAGAGAGATGTAAACGCTATACGATGGAGTAGAGAGTATGTTACTGCGGGGAAATTAGAGGTTTACAATTGGAAAATTGAAATCATCACGTTTGTCATAGATTCTAGTTAAAAGTAGTCAATCTGTGTCAATATTGAGGAAAAAAAAACGATATAACGCAGACCTTCTTCTTTCGGTAGTATCCTTAATTTCATGTTCACTGTGATATATGATATGTAAGCATTCGAGAAAATGTTATAAAATCAATATCCTCAGCATGTCTGAAAGAGAAATTTGAGAATTTTTGCATGATGTTACTTGTTGTCTTTGAAAAGGTTCTGTATCAATTCTAATTCAAATGGGTAGAAAACAAAAGTCGACCAGTTGTGGTCACAATTAGTATCCATACAAATACCGACTTTTTGCTAAAATATCAATCCACAAAACTCAACAATATATTGTCGATCAAAAGGTCCAACATTAGAATGACGGCATTCCGGAGTATTTTTTTATATAAATCAGTTTGGGTCTTCACAAAGTAAGATTTATTATTAGTTAAAAAAAAAAAGAAAACATTTCCAATTTTTTGTAGCTTTGTTTGCTGGATTAACATAATATTTGTCGCCAAGATATGATAAATCAAGCACAACATCGCGCTTCTCGAAAGGTTCAGACATCCATGTGCTCATTGTAATCGTATATTTGAATGCGCTTATGAAAACAAGACCGAACGGCTTCGTATGTTACTTACAATAATCACGTTAACCAATTATGTCTGTTAGGGTTGCTCATCCAATCTTGCCAATGTAACGAAACAGTTAACAACTATCATACAAGTGGGAGGTTTATTATTGAACCAGGTTTATCTCACCATTTTCTTAGGTAAATTCTTTACCAAAGCATGAATATGACAGTTGTTCTTATTCGTTCCGTCCGTTGGTAAAGCCTAACGTTGATTTTGTAAGGTTTCCCCCTTTATGAATTTACCTTGTAGTTCAGTATTTTTGTAAATGCTTTTTTTTTGGTATCTTTTTTTGATAAAGTGTCGAGTTTTTGTTCCTCTGGCTTTAACCATTTTCTGACATTGACCTCAACTGCAACCATTAGAAACTTAAAGTTTTTCTTCCGGTTAAAGACTGGGGAATTCGATATTTTGGTTCTTTGTCTTAATTTATCAATTGTTTACGATGCCAATGTCTCCAGTTATAAAATTACCAGCGGGACTATATTTTTATTGGACGATGCATAAGAGCGATCGGGAAGTTGAGATTTTCACATCATGTTTTCCATTTACCTGAATCTCCTGTCGAAATTCCATCGAAGTCGTCATTTGTAACAAATGTCATCGTAGTTATTGAAATAATGAGCATAATGAAAAGCGCTAATACAATAGCCAGTTTAAATCTGTTTTGATAAACCTCTTCATCCATCAGGACGGGCATACATTCCTGGTTTTCAATATGTATTATGTCATCAGAACTTTTATAAATATCATCGTCGCTTAAATCGACTGCTTCATTCTCGTCCATTAATGTATCTGTTAGATTGTCCATTATTCTATAATATATATAAAGGTGAGAACAAATAACCTTTACTGTAAAACGAATTTTGAAATCAATTTCAAAGATAAGTAGCTACAGATGGGTGCGGTCCTAACCTGTACAAAAGTTAACTTTGAGCAGACTTGTTGACTGCTTTTCAAGTTAACTTGGGAAATTTTAACCAGACAAGCAAGTTAACTTTGTCGTTGGTAGACCAAACCTACGGTCTGCTTTTTTATGACTGCTGCAGACCTATTGACAGGTCTGCTCCAGACCAGACCTGTAGACAAGTCTGCTTTTGACCAGTTCTGAGGACAGGTCTGCCCCAGACCAGACCTGAGGACAGGTCTGCCCCAGACCAGACCTGTGGACAGGTCTGCTCCAGACCAGACCTGTGGACAGGTCTGCTCCTGACCAGACCTGTGGACAAGTCTACTATTGACCAGACCTGGGAACAGGTCTGCTTGTGACAGATTACCGTGTTTAAGACTTTTGATTTTAATATGTAAACAATAATTGCATTGTTCTTTTTTCCCAGTATAGCAAATTTATTTACTCGTTAGACTCTATCGATATTATACACATTAAAAAAAAATCTTTTTTTCATTTCATATTCTTATATACATTAAACAATGGCGATAAAATTACACACTTGTGATCACATACAGCTATCATTACAGAAAAGAAAGTTTTTATTTAATTAGAAGTCGGATAGAAAGGTTATCCAACGCATCGGAACAATATTTTTATGTCATGGGATATCGACATCATTGTCGACGTTGCTTCGTTCTCCGTTTTTACAGTCTCTTCCTTAATTAAACTTTATGCATTACATGGATATTTCATCGTAATTCACCTTGTTTGCCTTGGATTTACGATTCTGTTTTCGACAAAATATTCTAACGAAAATTGTACAGTGTCCGGACACATAAGGTGTTGAATAATTATGAACGATCTAGTCAATTTCGTCAGATTTGTCTTTACCGATTTAAAATGATGATATGGGACTTCCAAAAAAAAAAAATACTCGTGCACATGAATGAAATAGTTGCACTTGAGGTTTAGCTACAAACAAAATCAATCAACCGACTTAATGTACTAACAGTATACTATTCCCAGAAGAGAACTTCTTATACTTTTCATCATAAAGTAAAAATGAAATCAGACAGGTCAGTGTTGGATGATGCTGTCAAATAGTTTTGTTATACACACCATCCTGAACTACTAACTTAAGTGATGGTCTAATATTATGAATACAGAGATGAAATGCTGACAATCTAAATTGATGCGGAAAAGATATTGCATTCATTGTTTTCAAATATTGCTTTCATTTGTATGATAATACAATACATCCGGACATAAAAAACTTCTGATTAAATATAATGCAGCCAAATAGATTTACATACTAAAGTGCAAATATGGTCAGTTTTAGTTGATACGGTCAAAAAATTTTGCTATACCAGTCAGCCTGAGGTATCAAAAGTACTGAAATTGTGTTACATATCAATATATTGAACAACTGGAGGACATGCTGGCACTCTAAATTTATGCAGACCAAATTTTGTATTCATTGTTTTCCAATATTGCTGTCATTTGTATTAAACATTAAATCCTGACATAAAAATATTACTGAATTATTATACGGCTATAAAGATTTACATGATAAAGTGCAAATATGGTCAGTTTTGATTGATACGGTCTAATAATTTTGCTATACAAGTCAGCCTGGGGTATCAAAACTACTGAAATTTAGTTACGTATCAATATATCATGTATATTGAACAAAAGGAGGACATGCTGGCACTCTAAATTTATGCGGACAAAAATTTGTAGTTGTTGTGTTCCAATATTGCTGTCATTTGTATTACTAGTATACATTAAATCCTGACATAAAAATAGTTGCTGATTTACAATGTGGCTATATAGATTTACAAAATAAAGTGCAAATATGGTCAGTTTTTGGTTGATGCGATCATATAATTTTGTTATAGGAGTCAGCCTGAGGTATCAAAACTACTGAAATTTTGTTGCGAGACAATATTTTGATTAAAAAGAGGACATGCTGGCAATCTAGATTTATACGGACAAAATTTTGCATTCATATTATGTTCCAATATTGCTGTCACTTGTATTATACAATACATCCTGACATAAATTATTACTGAATTATTATGCGGCTATATAGATTTACATGATAAAGTGCAAATATGGTAAGTTTTGGTTGATACGGTCAAATAATTTTGCTATACGAGTCAGCCTGGGGTATCAAAACTACTGAAATTTTGTTACGTATCAATATATTGAACAAAAGGAGGACATGCTGGCACTCTAAATTTATGGGGACAAAAATTTGTAGTTGTTGTGTTCCAATATTGCTGTCATTTGTATTATACATTAAATCCTGACATAAAAATAGTTGCTGATTTACAATGCGGCTATATCATGCTATAAAGATTTACAAAATAAAGTACAAATGTGGTCAGTTTTTGATTGATACGGTCAAATAATTTTGTTATAGGAGTCAGCCTGAGGTATCAAAACTACTGAAATTTTGTTGCGAGACAATATTTTGATTACAAAGAGGACATGCTGGCAATCTAGATTGATACTGACAAAATTTTGTATTCACATTATGTTCCAATATTGCTGTCATTTGTATAAAACATTCATTCTTGACATAAAATTATTACTGAATTATTATGCGGCTATATAGATTTACATAATAATGTGCTAATATGGTCAGTTTAAGTTAATGCGGTCAAATAATTTTGCTATACGAGTCAACCTGGGGTATCATAACTACTGAAATTTTGTTACGTATCAATATATTGAACAAAAGGAGGACATGCTGGCACTCTTAATTTATGCGGAGAAAAATTTGTAGTTGTTGTGTTCCAATATTGCTGTCATTTGTATTATACATTGAATCCTGACATAAAAATCGTTGCTGATCTACTATGCGGCAATATAGATTTACAAAATAAAGTGCAAATATGGTCAGTTATGGTTGATGCGGTCAAATAATTTTGTTATAGGAGTCAGCCTGAGGTATCAAAACTACTGAAATTTTGTTGCGAGACAATATTTTCATTAAAAAGAGGACATACTGGCAATCTAGTTTTATATAGACAATATTTTGTATTCATATTATGTTCCAATATTGCTGTCATTTGTATAAATGTATAAAACATTTATTCTTGACATAAAATTATTACTGAATTATTATGCGGCTATATAGATTTACATAATTATGTGCTAATATTGTCAGTTTAATTTGATGCGGTCAAATAATTTGGCTATACGAGTCAGACTGAGGTATCAAAACTACTGAAATTTTGTTGCGAGACAATATTTTGATGAAAAAGAGGACATGCTGGCAATCTAGATTTATACAGACAAAATTTTGTATTCACATTATGTTCCAATATTGCTGTCATTTGTATTATACAATACATCCTGACATAAAATATTACTGAACTATTATGCAGCTATATAGGTTTACATGATAAATTGCAAATATGGTAAGTTTTGGTTGAAACAGTCAAATAATTTTGCTATACCAGTCAGCCTGGGGTATCAAAACTACTGAAATTTTGTTACGTATCAATATATTGAACAAAAGGAGGACATGCTGGCACTCTAAATTTATGCGGTAAAAATTTTGTATTCATTGTTTTCCAATATTACTGTCATTTGTATTAAACATTAAATCCTGACATAAAAATATTACTGAATTATTATGCGGCTATAAAGATTTACATGATAAAGTGCAAATATGGTCAGTATAAGTTAATGCGGTCAAATAATTTTACTATACGAGTCAACCTGGGGTATCATAACTACTGAAATTTTGTTACGTATCAAGATATTGAACAAAAGGAGGACATGCTGGCACTCTAAATTTATGCGGAGAAAAATTTGTAGTTGTTGTGTTCCAATATTGCTGTCATTTGTATTATACATTGAATCCTGACATAAAAATCGTTGCTGATCTACTATGCGGCAATATAGATTTACAAAATAAAGTGCAAATATGGTCAGTTTTGGTTGATGCGGTCAAATAATTTTGTTATAGGAGTCAGCCTGAGGTATCAAAACTACTGAAATTTTGTTGCGAGACAATATTTTCATTAAAAAGAGGACATACTGGCAATCTAGATTTATATAGACAAAATTTTGTATTCACATTATGTTCCAATATTGCTGTCATTTGTATAAATGTATAAAACATTCATTCTTGACATAAAATTATTACTGAATTATTATGCGGCTATATAGATTTACATAATTATGTGCTAAAATTGTCAGTTTAAGTTGATGCGGTCAAATAATTTTGCTATACGAGTCAGACTGAAGTATCAAAACTACTGAAATTTTGTTACGTATCAATATATTGAACAAAAGGAGGACATGCTGGCACTCTAAATTTATTGTTAAAGTTAGATTGTGGTCCTAGGACTGGTCAGAGCAGTCCTAAATCCTGTCACAGGTTAACTTTGACCAGTCCAAATGACTGGTTATCTAGTTAACTTGCTGTACAGGTTAGGGCTGCTCCCATCTGTATAAAATTCGGTAGGCAACACATCAGCAATTTATATTTACTTGTAGTTATTTTATCGACAACTAAATTTTCATGAGGTTTTGATTTTCAAATATTTTGGCCTCGAGCATCACTGAAGAGACATAAATTATCGAAATGCGCATCTGGTGCAGTAAAATTGGTACCGTTTATGTTATTAATACCACAGTACTTCGGAACTGGCATGAAAATACGAATATTGTTTTGATTGAAATTTGCTGTTATTATATTTTGAAAATCATTTTTTCCTTAAGGAATATATATCTTCCTCATGCAAAGCTCTGATTCCTTGTCTGGATTTAGCTATACGTTATGCCCTGAGTTGTTGTGGATTTCTTTGTTTTTTGAGAACCTGACATTCAACGCAAATATGAGAGAAGTCATTACTCCAAAAATACACAGAACACATGAATGAGCAGAGTCTGAATCGCATGAATTCGTTAATTAGATATTGAAGAAATAAAATATTGATACGATCAGAGAATAGGCTATAGGGTTTAAAATAATAAGTTTGTTCGTACTACTCAACAATAAACTCATCATAGATACCAGGATTGAAATTTTATATTTACGCCAGACGTGCGTTTCGTCTACAAAAGACTCATCAGTGACGCTCGAATCAAAAAATGTTAAAAAGGTAAAATAAAGTACGAAGTTGAAGAGCATTGAGGACCAAAAATTCCTAAAAGTTTTGCCAAATACAGATAAGGTATTCTATTCCTGAGGTAGAAGAGCCTAAGTATTTCATAAATTCAAAGTTTTGTTAACAGTTAATTTATAATTATGAACATATCAATGATAACTCAAGTCAACACAGAAGTACTGACTACTGGGCTAGTGATACCCTCGGGGAATTAAAATTCCACCAGCAGTGGCATCGACCCAGTGGTTGTAAATAAACTCATCATAGAGACCAGGATTGAAATTTTATATTTACGCCAGACGAAAACATTGTTTCAACTTCAGATTCGTCGTTTACAGTTAACCACTACGTTTCTTTAATTGTTTGTGTATGTATATATGGTTTGTATGTTTTTAGCATTTGATAAAGTTTGTCTTCATGTTTTTACATGTCTTAACTACATTTCCCAACTCTTGTTACCATAGTTGAAGCATTAAGAGGTGACATCATCTATAAAGCGAATAGAATAGTTTAATAAATTAGCTTTACCTCTTTAATTTTTACTTCAAAGAACACTACTGGATTAAATCCGTCTCAGATGATAAAAAATAAAGTCGGCGAAATGAGGAGTAGAACTGTTTCTCATAGGAATGTCGATTGCTCTTTAACCATATCTACCAAATGTAGCAATTACTGTAAATTTAACAATCAAAATACTGATGATGTATTTGTTTAACGATCCAGCAATATGTAATTAATGTGGTATGGTTATTATTGATATCTCTGTTTCACTCTCTGTCCGTCTATATTGTATTCAGAAATATACTTTTTTATGTTAAATCTTTGATTTGTTTCTGTCATGATGATAAAAAGAATGAATCATTGTACCTTAAAAAATTACAACAACACTTTATAAATATCATGCATCCTTTTTCTGGATTAATCTCATTAGGAACGCTCAAAGCCGAATACTTGAAAGCCAATGATGTATGAGAACCGAAATAGTTGATGAGCTATATGATCAGAAAGGACCTTAACATAAATAGCCAAATCCATTTAATGTCAATTTTACCAGAGTAATTTCTTAATAATTTATAAATTTATAAACCGACAATTTAAAAAGGTTTGTTATAAATCATCATGCCAGTACCGAAATATTTATTATATAACTTACGAACAAGGAGCTGCTATTCTTCAAATAAATTATGTTATCGTACACAATCAATTCTATTTTTAAAACGTTTCGTTAGGTGATAAAATATCAAATGTGTGTATGTATTACATGTTGTGTAAACAATAAGAATATTTGGAGATAAACAAGGTTTAATCTATTAGAAGTATATAATTTAAACGAAATATTTCTGAAAATATAAAACTGGCTAAACTATATAAATTTCAGCGAAACCAAACCTGATAATTGATAAATCACAATGTTTAAGTAAACCACAGTAATTCTTTTTTGGAAGGAGGAAACTATACCTGTGACAATTTTCAGTATTAGGTAAACACTGCGGGATTCCTTTGAAGGTTACAATTGCGCAATTATTTGTTTACATTTCACCGGGAAGTTTTTGTTACTTTACTTTTTTTAGTGCATAGCAATTGCTATTTAAGGCTATTTCCGCCGCATAAGCATGTTGTGTTTTTTTCTCACTGAAATACATTCTTATAATGTCTAATTTATATACCTTTTTTTATTAGGATTCAAACAGACAGGGTACCCTTTGGTACCCTATGGAAAAAGCATTGTAAATAATTGCGCAATTGTTACCTATAGAATTTCTTTACTTTCACTTTCGATACTTGATTTTCAGAAAATCTTACTCTGAATCAAATATTCAATTAATTTTGATTGATTTTTAATCAATTTGGATGACTTCTGGAGAGAGTTGCAATACAAAAACAAAACACAGGGAAGTGGCAATGGGATGGGTTGTATTGAGTGTATGTGCACAAAAAACATTTGGTAATGGCATACAGGTTGTGTAATGGTCACAGGGGGGAAGGGAGGCTGCACATAGAGTGGCATATATGATAAGGCATTTAAAATTGACCAGATATGATATGTCAAGAGTGGATGAGAAAAATAATGCAATAGATTGTAGCCATATTTGTCACAATGTATTGTGTGTAAATGTAAACCACCTTGTGTTAGAACATCATGCTATTAACTTGGACCGACTGCACTGCAAAAACCAGAGACTATGTTCAAAAAGTCACAAACCATATTGTTCAATTTAAAAGTATTGATTTTATTTCTTTGCGAATATAAATTTTCTTCTGCTTTTCGTTCCTCCCATACGGATGGTCTTCGTGTTTTGCTTTGTATGTTTTCATGCCGCGGTGAGCTTTCATTAGCATATTCTTCTCATATTGAATTACTTTGGTCAGTTTCTCATACAATTTATATAACTTGCAACTTTTTCACTTCGAAATACTTTATAATTTACACTTTGTTTGTGTTTTTCTATTTTTAGAGCCTTGTATGCACCACTGCCTATTGGGATATCACAGTGTAAAGCAAAACAGAGTTCAAGTATAGACTCTCCCAGACCGTAATTGGCGCTGTGAGCTGCTGCAAGTGCTCGACCAGACATGTTTTTCTTGAAGGTAACATTTGATGGTAATGATCGTCATAAACTCCTATTAAATCTCTCGACGGAATTAGTGTTCTTGTTCAACCGTGTCTAGTCTCTTATTAATTGTTTTTCGTAGAAAGTCCAAGTTCTCATTTCAGCTAGTTATTTTGAAGGTATTTTGGTAAGAAAGGACGTCCTTTCAACCATGATCCCTGAAATCCGTTACAGGCAAAGGAATTCTTGTTGCACCCAGCACGAGTTCCCATGTAGCAGTTAGCTATTGCATCTGCTGTGAAATTTTGTATTTTACTTTAGAAAAATCTCCAGCATAAAATTCGCAGGCTAGTAGCAATTCCTTATTACATCTTTCAGTTAGATCAACTGCAAAATTATTTAAAAGCTTTTGTCTCTATAGTTTTGTTGTAGCTGGCATCAGTTTTAAAAGAGTTTTATCTGACTTTTCTCATTTGTGTACATGGGCGGAAAGATGTCTTGTATCTAAAAAAATGTTATAATGTACAATGTTTTCCTTTCTAGTTTCACAGTCATTGATAGTAAATAATGCCAATGTAAACACCCCGGTGTTCTTTCAACATAATGTAGACAAAATAGACCGTCTGACTTATGAATTGAACTACGGTGATAAATGAATCAAAGCCTTTCAAATTACCTTGTTTATATCTTTAATAAAAAATAAATTATTATATTTAAATATTAAACGAATCATAAATTTAAATTGTACAATATAATATTATATAAAGATGGTACAAATAAATAGATTGATTACAACATCACATTAACAAGGGGGGTTACTACTTTTAAAAACTACCCCGGTCGTTAAAGTATACATGCACAGTCACTATGGTTATGAGATCTTTAATCGAAGATAATGTCGACGGATGCAAAAGGCTTTATCAATCTGAACAATAAGGGTGCGTGATCTTTACTTTTAAATTTAGAAAGGTTGATCTCAGATGATTAGAATTCAAGGTCCATTATACGAACATTCAGGACGATAATGTGTTTTGCTTGATCAGTTGATTGAAAAACAAATTTCCGCAATTTCACAATTCAAACCGGGATTAGCATTTAATCATTTTGCCATTCGGAGCCTACTCGGTATTAGTTTTGCTTATTTTTGAAAGCTATATGGTGACCTTAACTAGAGCCTGGGTGTGGATGGGGGTTTACGGAATAGAGAATTGTGGGCAAAAAGTATAAATAATAGAGACAATGGACCAAGAAATAAAAAAAAATAGAATAATGAGGTGTTAAAATATAAAAAGAGTAGAATAATTTGCAAAAAGTATAAAGAAATAAACATGATAAAGAATAGAGAAAAATGGCATGAAACACTGATGAAAGAATAGAGAAAAATGGAATAGAATATCAAAGAATACAGAAATGAAGAAATACGCATCCAGACCATCATACTAGTTGCCTAAACCAACGTTATTTTGTCTCCGGTAGAATGTTATTGGTTTTCATACGTTTTCTTTTTATTTCTATGCCTATCAATTAAGACATGAGCTTTCATAATTTGCCAGCTTATTACATTATAAAAAAAGACTAAGCCGAACATCACTCTGGATTTTTCTCAAGTAGACCTCAGCTACCCACCCTACCACACCATTACCGAAAAGTTAATAAAAAAAATCTACGGCAATACTGTTGTCCGCACTAGGTGCAAAGGGAAATTGGGTACCTGAGGTCTTCTGGAGAAAAAATCCAGGGTGTAGGATAAAGCAAAACATTGTAATCCACATATCCAAGTGTGTGGCTGTTGTTTTCAGGGTATGAATGGTTCTTTTCCTCGTTGAAGACCCTCCAGCTACTTTCAAGATGAAAAACAGGAATAAAAGCCCTGTTCATTGATAATTTGTATTTTTTCTATGTATTGTGTGCGATTTTGTCCCATGCCCATCTCTTTATTTTCTATTTTAGGGCCTAAACACGGCTCAATGCAAGTTTAGCCCTTCAATATTAAAGGTCATATGTTACATTATTGTTTCGGATAAGAGTGAATTTGGTACCTATTAAAACGATTAAAAACCCGCTGCATTTGTTTGCACCTGTTCTAAGTCAGGAACCTGATGTTCAGTAGTTGTCGTTTGTTGATGTGGTTCATAAGTGTTCTCGTTTCTTGTTCATTATATAGATTATACCGTTGCATAGTTTTCCCGTTTGAATGGTTTTGCACTGGTCATTTTGGGGCCCTTTGTAGCTTGCTGTTCCGTGTTGAAGATCGTACTTTGACCTACAATGGTTTTTCTTTTACAAATTGTGACTTGGATGGAGAAATGTCTCATTGGCACTCATACCACATCTTCTTATATCTATATATGGTCTTTTTAAGTGAATTGGGTGATTGGGATTTCTAGCTTTAATCTCACCCATGTCGGCTTTTTATTTGTATTTACAGAAAAGAGAGCTAGTTTTGTATTCTTTAATATACTGTAACAGTTTTTTCTATGTCCGGTAGCATCGTATCATATATAGACATCGGCTGTTGTCTGCTCTTTGGTCGGGTTGTTGTCTCTTTGACATATTCCCCATTTCCATTGTCAATTTTATTATCGGTAGGCATGTAAAGTTGCCAAACCATACACGACCGGTCATTAGTCATCGTAGATCTATTCCAAGTCTTAATAAGTCTACACAAAGCAGCAAAGGAACTTTTACAACAAGGAATATTACACAACTGAAGCCATAGTCATAAAGATCGATTGACTGATTGGTGTTCCTTTAACGTCGCCGCAGAACATAAAATTATTACCTGATCTTCATTCTCAACATCTTCAATCTCTATTGTTCCCAAGGAAGCAACCATTTGATTCTCTGGGGTGGGACAGGGATTTGTACCCGAAGTCAATAATTTTTTTTTAACCCAGACTGAAAAACATGCCTTTATCCATGGCCACACACAAACACAATAATATTTTCAAGATTTATTAAAAAAAAAATTTTTTACACTTTTATATTTTTATGTTGTTTTGAAATATTTATTTCACTTGAATTTATACGAATTTACTAAATATACATGTTTATACCAAGCCAAGTCCGTTTATATCTTGTTTCTCGCCTGACTATACAAAAGGCCAATGCAAGTTTAGCCCTTCAATATTAAAGGTCATATGTTACATTATTGTTTCGGATAAGAGTGAATTTGGTACCTATTAAAATGTTTAAACCCGCTGCATTTGTTTGCACCTGTTCTAAGTCAGGAACCTGATGTTCAGTAGTTGTCGTTTGTTGATGTGGTTCATAAGTGTTCTCGTTTCTTGTTTATTATATAGATTATACCGTTGCATAGTTTTCCCGTTTAAATGGTTTTGCACTGGTCATTTTGGGGCCCTTTGTAGCTTGCTGTTCCGTGTTGAAGATCGTACTTTGACCTACAATGGTTTTTCTTTTACAAATTGTGACTTTGATGGAGAAATGTCTCATTGGCACTCATACCACATCGTCTTATATCTATATATGGTCTTTTTAAGTGAATTGGGAGATTGGGATTTCTAGCTTTAATCTCACCCATGTCAGCTTTTTATTTGCATTTACAGAAAAGAGAGCTAGTTTTGTATTCTTTAATATACTGTAATAGTTTAATTTTCCATGAAAAAAGGACTGTTTTTTCTATGTCCGTTAGCATCGTATCATATCTGGACATCGGCTGTTGTCTGCTCTTTGGTCGGGTTGTTGTCTCTTTGACATATTCCCCATTTCCATTGTCAATTTTATTATCGGTAGGCATGTAAAATTGCCAAACCATATACGACCGGTCATTAGTCATCGTAGATCTATTCCAAGTCTTAATAAGTCTACACAAAGCAGCAAAGGAACTTTTACAACAAGGAATATTACACAACTGAAGCCATAGTCATAAAGATCGATTGACTGATTGGTGTTCCTTTAACGTCGCCGCAGAACA